AAAAGAACAAGGATTCTTAACAATTACATTGTTACTGTTGAAAATACTTTTACATGACATTCTTCAAAAGTTTTAGATTACAGTACTGCCATGGATACTGAGGTGGCCAAAATGGGGATTGCAGAGAAGTGAACTCTCACTTTAGTGTAAAATGTTCCAAACAATGTCCACAAGGGGACAGCATAGTTCAAGAAAAGAGTGTGGATCTGAATTAGTGCCACTATTTATTTTTATCATCACAGAAGAAGTCCGTTCTGTAAAAACACTTTCCAGATATCTGGAAAGTTCCAATTACTCCCAATAGTTCTTATAAACTACAAGTTTACTAAATAATCTCAGAGCAAATCTACATTTCCCAGTATTCTGAAAGAAGTGCTTCCAATCACAGTGTGATGGGCATTTTGAAAGTGAGGTAATACTTTACAGAAGGTGCAAAGAGGAGCTCAAAAAGGTCTGAAAATATGTCAGAAATGTTCTGGGTTTTTCTTGTTTTGTTCTGTTTTTTTTTTGAAGGCAAAGATTTTTGTTTCATCTTCCTGAGAACAAACATGACGGCGTGAACCACATGAGGATAGGTCATTTGATTCATTAAAATGAAGTGAGGTTGTCATTGTTAACCTTTCTCAGCAGAGAAAAGGCCATGTACGACCGCAGAGGCATTGGAATGTGACAGCTGTGAGTAAGGAACATACAATGAGTATTTCCCCTTCAAGACAGAGATACAAGTCAAAGTGGAGTGCGGATAATCTGAGCCTGTCTCTGAATGGAGTGCTATTTTCCCATCAGTTCAGACACAGATGCGCATGTGCTGTGCTACAGTTTGTGTACTTGTGTTTGGTTGGATCAAGGTCAAATAAGTAATGTTGCCTTTACAACATATTTTTTAAAAATGTTACTTACATGCAGTGCCCATAGAACTCCCTCTATACCATGCACAATTCCTCTCAGTCCCAATATAAACACACTCTCCTGACTTGATTGTATTTTCTCTGCAGGAATACTTAAATATAAAGGTGTTTTTCTCCAGCATCCACTTTCCTCCTGTTTTTCTGTCTTCATTGATAGTCTTTGCTTCACTAAAATGAAGAGTCCCCTCTCTAATAAGTGTCACTACTAAGGGAGCAACTGCTGTGGGCCTGTAGAAAGGGAAACAAAGCAGCATGCTGACACAACTATGGCAAAGATCCAGATTAAAACAGAAAAATAGCTAATTAGTCTAAAAGCTGATCTGGTCATGGCATCAGAGGAGGCTAAGTCTGTGTGTAGTATATGTGACAAAGAGGTTAATGAGACAAATCTTGACACTCCAATTGAAGGATATATTGCAAAAAAAAACAGGTGGAAGCTTTGTTTCACAACACAGTGCATCTCTACTCTAAACTTTAATATTTCATGCATGTGGAATATAAATGAGATTTGCAAACAACTAAAGTTAAGGGAAGGAAAAATCCTCAGTGGAGCACATGAGGAATAAAACACCCTCACTCCAAGGTTTTTCAAAACCTCTTCACTTCTCTCTTTCACACGCACATAAACAAATAGGCACAAACACATACACCTCGAAACAAAGGTGCCATTTTGCTCAGGAAGGGTCAGCAGTTCTCTTCATCAGACAGGGGCTTGTTCTTGGTCCGAGACTGCTGCCCAATCTCAGGCCACCCTCCCCTGGCTCCACCGACCCCCCAACTAAGCCCCACCACCACCACCACCATCCCGGAGACAAGCTCCCCATTGTTCCTGCACGACTAATAAATGACAGTTCTCCTGTTTAGACAAACTTTAGAGCTGACTCTAAACACACTTTGAGCGGAGCTTAAATAGTGCTCAACAGGCAAAGGTATACAAGAGATATTTCAAATGGAGGTTTATAAGCTCCCATTCAACTATAATGCAAGAAAGATTTATACTGTGATACATGTTTCTGCCCATTCATAACATGAAGTAATAATTTATTTTTGCGATAAAGAAAATAAGCATGTAAGTAAAGGTTACAAAGAACTCATTCAAAGCTCAGGTATTGTATTTGCACCAATGGGCTCAATCAAAGTCAGGAAACCAGACATAAATAGAAATCACTATTCAACCTAAGCTCATAAACACACCATTAACACAAGCAACCACAGCAACTATATCTGTTTGCTTAAAGCACTATGCAAGGGGGGCTATTTTGCTCTCTTTTAGCATGTATCAGCATGCCCAGAAGGTGTGCTAATGCACATGTGTCTCACTTGGGCCACTTGAATTGACCACGTTTACTACAGTGTTTCATTTTAAAATACATTGATCATAGAATTATAAACACTTAAAGTTCAGTTAAATTCATGGATCTATCAAACATTGTTTTCAGCAAAGTAAAATAGTTGAAATCAGGAATGGAACCTCACAAGACAGCTGCAAAATCCATCCATTCTATTGAAATACGAGACAACAGATTCAAGAGCAGAAATACAAGTAATGAGACATTTCCGCTAAACTGGTTAGCAAAATAAAACCAGGGCTGCTACGTCCAACTCTGGTGTGCATGTTTTTCTGCTGCGGTTCACCACATGCATATCCTATGACAGTGCAGCCGGCACACACAGAGCAAAGAGAAAGTGAATTTCTGAATAATAACTCAAGGCTACAGAATCAAAAATAAAAATAAATCTACAAATGTACATATTTTTCCAATAACTGATGTCCATTTTTGGGTGAGTTGAGCCTTGTACAGATGCTGTGCGAGTAGGGGTGACACCAATAGACATGCTCCCGCTTTGCTGGTTAAATGACAAAAGGAGGAGGAGGAAGAGGAGACCGAAGTTGTGAGAAGAAGCGTAAAAAAAAAAAAAAAAAAAACTCCTATGTTTAGTCAAGGCTTGCTCACTGACACAAAGTCTGTCTTTGTCTGCCTCCCAGGGTGCCAGATAAAGGAATTCTTGTGTGTCGGGGGGCTCTGACCGAGTTTATTTGACACTTCAGTCCCCTTTGAGCAACAAGTGTCCCTCCGTCAATGCCAGCCATGAGAGTCACTTGGCATTAGACAGAGGGTCCCTCTTCAGTAGAGAAAGGGGGTCTTGTGTGGAGAAGATTTTTAATAAAAAGGGAGGGTGATCACTTCCATTAGTCTCTGTACATACATACAGTAGAATTGTTTTTTTCAACAAAGGCAGCTTTTTTTATTTGTTTGTAATGTACTGCAGATGAGGTGTATGAGAAGATAAAACACACCTGCATTGTCAGGTAGAGGGAGCCATTGTTAATGAAAGGCACTTTCAGCACAGGATGATCCTGACACGACCAGGTTACTGTCACCTGAGTGAAGTCACTGTAATCTATGTGAAGGCTTATAATGACCCACATTGTACATACATATTTTTGTTCTAGGTAATCTTCAACAATCTATAACAGGTCAATGCTGGGATGCTAAACAAGTAAATGGCGACTTTATCTAAATGTCTGAATTTTAAACAATGGTTTTGCAGTGGTATATAACAGCCTGAACGTGCCAGTCTGTTATATAATATAATTAGAGGAAGTGTGATTAGATATCCACACCCAATATTTCAAACAGAGCAGCCTCTATGCTCTATTCCCGGAACAAGAATAGATGATTTTAACATACACTATAAAATGAAATTTTGGAAGGTGTCAAATTATAGCAATTTAAATGAATTTTATATTCAACCAGACATATAAGTTTGTAAATGGGATATTTTATATTGCGTACATTCCAACAAAATCACCTGGTCTGCTTTGGTAACAAAACCAAAATATTTTAATTTGAATTTTAGAAAAATGTTGTGTAAGTTGCATTTTACCCATTTTCATATGTCATATGCAGTGTCCAGCAGACTGCAGTATAGCTGATTTGATTAAATTATTTAATGAATGGATGAAAACATTAACTTACAATACTTCCTGTCTTGAAGCAAGAATTTAGGTTTGCATCCTGCTTTAGCTGCATTAGCTACTTTATCTATGTTAGCTACTTTAGGGAAACAGCTAAAACTATAGTAAAATTTGCTAGCAGGACAGTCATTGGCAACAAAGCAACACATCTTTAGCTGTCATCACATAAAATTCTTAAATATCATATTGTTACATTTAAAATATTTTTTTGTCTATTTTTTTATTTATTTATTTTTTATCCAGAAGTTGTTTCAACAAGACCATTTTGGGTTCAATACCCAATCTTAAGACTTTTGCTTCATGTCTTCCTTTCTTCTCTCTGGCAATGTTTTGTCAGATAGCCGTCAATAAAGTCTTGTAGTGTCAAAATTAAAGTTCATATCCAGCTGCACCTAGTTTAGTGGAAATGTTGATGCTAAAGTCAAGACAACAGCAAATGGTTGAAAATGTTTTCACATGACATTTGAATTATTTCAACATTTTGTGCCGAATAGCAAAATGTTAAGACAAGTAAGTTTGACTAATTTATCATGGTAAGTAAAACCAATAAACAAAATGATCCTAAAAATTAAGAATCGGTTGGACTTTTTCTGGTTTATATGTCTTTTTGCTATTGGACTTGCATTGTTTACATTGAAACTGATTAAAATTCACCCAAGTAAAATGTATGCAATTTAATGTCGATTTTATAGATTAAAAATCTTGTTTTAACAGCTTCATCACCATCATCATACATTATTATTTTAATTATTATGTTTATGATTATTAGTATTATTGTCATTATTATTATTATTATTATTATTATTATTATTATGTTAAGATTTTAAACTACCAATCACAGAATCAACTATTCAGAGTCACATAATAGAATTTGACTTTGCGGTGCAATTTGGTACAAGAAATTGACCAAAAGGGTGTGTTAGGAAGATAACGATGGGACCTTTGACCAAAACAGACACTCTGGAAATAACAGATTATTCCAAATATATATCTAATGGAGAAGCTGAACAATTATTCACCAAATAAGCTTCAGGAAAGAAAAAGTTAATCAGCACTTTCTTATAAATATTTTACGACCAAAAAGCAAGAAGTTGACTTTTCCCCCCACGTACCTGCTTGTTCAGGAGAATCATATTGGTCATATTGATCCCTGGACATCCCCGAAGCACAGCTTTCATATTCCAGGATATTTCTCCATCTATTTTTGTTTCTCCTTTTTATACGTCCAAATCCACAAGTCTGCAGAAGTTATAGATATCCACAACAGTGAGGTGGCCATAAATATCTTCTCAGTGACCACTCTGGACCATGCGTGTCTCCCAAGAGAAAAGGGTGTCCGTGAGCCGACTTGTCCAACACAAAGTAAGCAAGACAGGAATAGATCCAACTCATCCCGGGAAGAATAAACCCTCTGTTCCATTCAAAACGATCCATAGTTGTACTTTGTTTTAATCCATCAGCTGATGCGAACAGATGAAGACAGAAATTGTAACTTTCCCACACGTGACAGCGCTGAAACACAACTAAAGCTTCAAATCCGGCATATAAATCTTCATCCAAATTGGATCTAATGGATCCAGATGACTTCCGTTCAGGATTTAAAGATGCTGGATCCTCCTGATTGTTCAGGACAGTGATGTTCTCCATTGCTGCTCCGCTGTTATGATACTCCCCCGTGAAGAGCCGCAGCCTCAATGAGCCATAGTTTGAACAGAGCAGAGCGACACATGCTTCTGACAGGTGACGTCAGCGCGAAAGGCATTATGGTAAATGAAGTTGAGTAAAAGATCTGCAGCACGAAAGACTCTTTCCTTCCAAGTTAAACACTTCTGAAGGAATGAGGACAAAAAATGCAATATACAGTATATTATTCATAGTGATTAAAATTCTGTTTATATAAAAAGTAATAAATTTATATATATAAAAAATACAACAGTTTTGAAGATGAAAGTGATTAAAAAAATTAAAATTGTTCATAAAATAAACCCATTCTTTAATAAATATTTACTAGCACTAAAATAAAAGTCTATGTTTCTGTCTGGTAACAAAAACAGATTTTTTTAGTTCAGAAATTAAAACTATTATATTCTCAATATAATCACTTATCATCTGTTGGAATGACTCCAGGTTGCGTGTGAGCAGTGTGTGTGTGAGTAATAATGATCATCTGTCGCTGTGCAGAGATACAGAGATGCCTTGAGTCACCTTCCCATGAATGAATCTCTTGTCTCTCTTACCTCACTTTCATGTCTTAACCACCTCCAGGCTTGCTTGTATATCTGGGATCATAGCTTCCTTGAAACATGAAAAAGAGAGAAAACAAAAAGAACGACTGGATTTTAAGGAGTGGAGGGCAGAGTGAAAGAATAGCTATAACCTGCTAAGTGATTGCCTGTGATACTTGCTTCAGGTAGTGCAATAGAGTTTATTTTCTACCTTCTGAGCGCTGCCATAAAATTGATCTTATTTGCAATTGCCTTAACTTCTCAGACATTAAGCTGTCTAAAGGTGATGTCTGGGACACAAGAGAGTGTTTGCTATTAGTAAGGTATGGTAAAACAATGTAGGTTAATTGTGAATTGTTAATATCAGAAAACATATATATATATATATATATATATATATATATATATATATATATATATATATATATATATATATATATATATATATATATATATATATATATGCAGTATAATGACACTTTTTAAATTGTTATATAAATAAAAATCTGAGAATACAGTCAATATTTAAAGAGGCATTCCCAAAGCACGATGGTGCTACTATTTTCCTGTGAAATTAAGCTTCCATCTCATTAGTAGTACATAATGTGTGCTACCCATTAGTGTGTAGCAATAGATTTACTTTTTAGTTTACATATAAACTAAAAAGTAAAACTGGGCCATAACTTCTGCCTTCCCTTAACTAGAGTTACAATGCACCTCATTTCACATGCTCACACTTTGTATCTGTGCAGCAGCAGGTGAAGCTCCACTCCAGCTTTTCCTATGCTCCTTTGGCTTTGCACCAGCAGAGTCCAGGAGTACCAGAATTGCACGCGATTCTGTCAATTGCAGGTACTTGATGGCTTTCTTGTGTGCAAGGTTGAAAAGTTGCTGAGGTTTGCGCCCACGGCATTGCGTGACTAGAGCTGGAGATGAAAACACAAAGACATTGTTTTCAGTGATCAAACCCCCTTTATAGTAACTCAACAGCATTCCTGCCTCACATTCCTGAGCCACCGCTGCTGTGTGAAGGGTTTTCTTTTCCTTTAGAGAAAAAAGAAAAAGCAAAAGAGGGTTATGCATTTTTGTCTGGTTCACTGTGTTGACCTCACTTCTCTCACACAGCTTCTCACTTTGTTCATTATTGATGAACTAAGACTGAATTAAGGATTAGCAGAGCCAGATATCTTATGAGGGTAATTAACTGGTAGCAGTCTTAAAACCAAAACTATGCAGTGAATGCAAATAACATAGCTGGAAGCTCCCCTTATTTGCTCAGTTTTAGAAAACTGTAAGATTAAATGTTGTTCACATAATGCATGTGTCTGTAATCATACCATGTGTGGATGCAAGATTCAGCAAATGAGTGTGTGCCCAGTTCTAGGCATGAAGTAATCAGCACTCAAATGTTTTCCAGATTGGTGTGACAGGGCTAATCATCTCCAGAGCACAAAAAAATCATTCTGAAGTTTCCACCCATCTGCTCCGACAGATGGGAGGAATGCATGTGAAAATCTAGCCCAAAATCTTCTCTATTTTAAGAACCCATAACATAGTTAGTCTTTTTCACAGAGATGCAAGTGTAAATTTGACAAACCATGGGAAACTGCTGTAGTCTGATGAAATATTTAGAAGCCACTGCCTCTATGACCGCCATACAAAACACAGAGGACAATCAAGTCACTCATATCTCCAGTGTGAGCTCTGAGCGTGATTAAGACTGAAGCACATTCATTACTAGCCCAGCTCAGACAGAGAGGGGCTTCAGAGCTGAGCTCTTGTGTTGGACTGTTTGGATGTCCTATCCCCTTGTATCTCTTTGACTACCTCCAACACAAGGCTCCATTCAACCAGAGTGGGAACAAATGTTTCCTTATGTGCCTCTGAGTGGCCAAGCTTCAGCAACAGGATAGACAACAAGGGTCTATGTGACCAGAAGGCACCTAAGGATGCATAAATGCGTTCTCTACAAGGACTTCCAGCATCTTTTAATATGAGACGAGTGGTATTTTGAACTGGAACAAGACAGATTTAAAGATAAGACCACCAAAAATTTATTTTTCCAAGATGATCTCCACATATATATATATTTCCTTTTCACAATCTTATGTCTCATTTGAATAGACTAAAAGAGCATTGATTTAGGAAATCGAATAGAAAACCTGAGGATACACTATATGTTGGCACCTGATGCAGTTTTAAGTTCACCTGACTTGCAGAGCTCTGCTTGTTTTCTGAACCACAATTTCGAAACATTAAATGAAGCTGAGCATCGGTCACAATAAAGTTTCAGGGTGACCAGGGTAAGTCTTTTTAACGTAAGAATGTAAATCCTAAGCATTGTAAGAAATGTTCTGTGTACACGTTTTCTTCATAAGCACACAGGATAAAGAGCTAATCCCTCTCTACTATGACACTGATCAAGCTGGATTCCTTCCAGCAACTCACAGAGTCAGATCTAAAGAAGAGTCAACCTTTGAAAGCAAGCTGTGATTAATGATTGAATCAGCCTCCAGCCACTTTTAGATCTATATCAACTGAAAAGATTTTGTACACTGAATAATTGCTCAGCACAGCACTGAAATACATATTCTAAAGAATTTTAAACTTATCTATTTAGCATTGATGCTGAAATTTGTTGTCGGTAGATCTTTCTATCGCCTTTGATACACTATGTTGTTGCTAAAAGTGTGTTGACATTGTAAGCCAGTTTAAGTCCTACCTGACAAATAGTTATTTTTGTTGTAGTTTTTTTTTTTTTTTTTTTTCCCTTTCACTTATATGAGGCTGTTATTCACACTTCTCACTTGTGAGGTCTCTATCTTGGAACCTCTATTTTAACCCTGTCCATTTCATTGTTTTGAATATAACATCCTGTTCTACATACAAGTAAAGCCTTGCTTTCCTGGAACCACTACTGAACTGTGAAGGTTACATAAAACTTTGGAAGAAGTTGAACTGTTTTATTGTTCTGTGTTTTAATGGCAATGAGATGGAAATCATTTGGTTTGGAAGCACCAAATTCTGAAGTATTTTCCTGTAGCTGTTGTATTGAGATAAATCTAAGTATGGTACTTGACAGCTTTCTTGAACTTTAATCTATGGAGGCAAGGCAACTTTATTTATTTAGCACATTTCACCCAAAGACAATTGAAAGTGCATGTACAAGAAAGTTAAAAACAGCATACAACAAGAATGTATGTTCTTGTAATCTACTCATATTTACACATTCAACAGCCAGTTTCTCTTTACCATAAAAAATGTGATTGTGCCTAAAAAATGTGATTGTTACAAAATTATGGACTGGTTTATAAACACAATGCTCAGACATCATAAACATTTAAATCACTGCTCAAGACACATCTTTATACCTTCACATTTAATTCAACTAGAGCATAAAATCTACAAAATAGTGTATTTTTCTGTGTTTTGGGTATTTTTCATTATTTTTCTACATATGTATTTATTGTAAGTTTCTATTATTTAATTACTGCAAATCTTTGTCTTTATTTTATGATATTACTGTTTTCAAAGAAAGCCACATGTTCCTTACCAGACTTTTAAAATATTGAATGCATGTGAATGTTCTTTTAATTTTCTCAGTAAGAAACACAACTAAATGTCTGTGATTTAAACAAAGCTAACCTCCTTCAATACACTAACAAATACCAGAGGTACAACATCAGTATATAATCTCAGCGTTTTATGGAAATAAATAAAATTTTGTGTCATAATTTATTTCTCTCCACTGAAAGCATTGCTATGCAATTTTTCAGAAATGGTAAAAAAAACAATAAAGTCAAATAAAATACCTGTTTGTATGTATGCATACAAACCCAGCTAATATTAAATCAAATTCAGTTTGAAAACTGCAAAGGAAATCTGACCATAAAACTTTTCACAAGAAGACATTTAACTTTTCCATGTGAGATACTACAAATTAGGCATGACAATGTTAAGTTCGCTTTAGGCTGAATAGTGTAATTTTAGCATTTTCCAGTGTTGGTGACTCCTGAGTTTTTCTTGAGAACACCTCACTTTCTTTTGTCTAAGGAGCTCCAACTGATATGTATCTGGACTCAAGAACAAGTGCACAAAAATATTTGCAAGGAACCCAACCAGTTTTACTGAACTGGTCAAAGTGATCACAGAACGTGTTAGTTTTAAAACAATTATTTTAATTATTTTACCAACTTTCCACCAAATGCTTGTTGAACAAATGTGTGATAGAAATTCACCTAATCTTAGTCGGGCAGATAATGCATATTTGAGCCTGTGTGTATAACTTCTATTCTAAAAGAAACAAATATGATTAACCATGGAAACAAAAAAAAGAGATACTGTAAATGTATGGATAAAATGACAGAATGTAAACTTTGGACCTGCACAGCACTTAAGTCTAATCCAGAGAGGATTTTTGAGTTCTGATGTTCAGTCAGAATTATTTTATATG